AGCGGCAGGTGCGTGAAGCTGCCTGCTGCAGCAAACGTCGCTCAATTACATTGGGAGGTGTTGTAGATGCTGCCATCTAGGACAAGCTAGGCAAAGCCAGTGACCGCGTGTGCTCAAGGTGCGCGTAGCGCGTGGCTTGGCTCCTAGGCTTAACGCAATTCTGGTATCCACGTAACCCAGCCTCCTGTCTTTTTGCTCGTCTCTGGCGACTTCAACAATTAGGCGCTGATGAAAACTCTGAGACCACGGTCACGACGACGGATCTTCGGAAGTCGACTCGTCACGTGCTTCTGTCTTGCGTTGCGCCGCAACCTTGTGGTACTGAAGCCTTCGCGTCTAGCCGATTAGCTCTAACAACACGACGGCTCATTGAATGCTGTGCAGTGAATGCGATAGCAACAAATTGTAATGTTATATGAAGTAAGGCTAGCAACCAACTCTTTTGGATTCAATGTTGCAGAACTCCTTCAAAATGCTAGTGAAAGCAAATACGGTTGCTCGAGGAAGAAGTGTTCTTTTCACACAGTCTTTTCACGTTGAAAACGCACTGATGCTTGTCGAGATAGCATGCGCGCCAGTGATCGTGACCGCAATCTTAAAATCAAAGTTCACCATTGCTACTTGAGCGACACCCCTTACGCGTTTTTTCATGCTTGTTCAAGATGGGTGCTTTCCTTGAGCATTCGACGGCAGTTCTAAAACGTGGGAGATGTACCATATGTGCCCTCCTGGTGATAGAGATGGGCCAGCTTATTTGATCTCTGCTTCATTAGCGCTCGTGCGCTTTCACTCGCTCGTCAAAGTGACGATGCTCGGGGGCATGCTCTCAATTTGGACTTGTTAAGTAACATGGCGGCGACGGCAAAAACCTGCTGAGAGTGTCCACATAATTGCTACATATCGCTATAATAACGCAGATTTTTACTGCTAAATAAGTGTTTTGGGTTAGGTCTGCTTTCAGTTCCCCTTTTGTTTAATTTTTGCATTTATTTTTCAATTTTCGTAGCAAACCTGCATATAACGAAATTCTCTTTATAACCAATTTTTCTGGGATTTTGTCAATTTCGTTATATCCAGGTTTAACTTCTGTAGGGAGGTATTCACTATGCTATCCTTCATCATTCTGCGACAAATCATGGTACCTGCTACACACTTGTGAGAAATTTGCTTCAATTTTCGGATGCTGTGGCTGACAAAGAATTATGCCTGAATCTTTTGTTATTGATTGGAGCATTTGGCGACCCACTCGTTACACAATTTGTATTGTGTGACGCTTGGTTGTTCCTTTGTTGTTATAAAATGCCTTCCTACTCATATCAAGTCGATTCCTTTTCAAACATCAGGCCTGCCAGTTTGAAACAGAGTTTCAAGCAACGGCATGGCTCTGTAGTAGAATACTGAGCTGGCACGCAGAATAGAGCACTGAACGGGCCCGGGCCAGCCTGAAAGCCCAGGCCCGCGGGCCGGGACGGGCCGGGCCGGGTAAGGCATCGTTGGATCGGGCCCGGGCCGGGCTCTGGCCCATGAGCTTCGGGCTTAGGTTGGGCTCAGGCCTGAGTTGGGCTTGTATTAGGCCCGGGTCTTAAACACTAGCTGTTTCAAGAAATGGGTCTATTATTATTTAAAGATTACGAAAGGAGGAATTTGCGAGCTACTTGTGGTGTTCCATTAACTTTGGCAGAGGGCATCTCCAGATGTGTAGGAACGTTTATTATGAAGTTTGGTTTATTTTGCCACACGAAGTACAAAAACTTCAGATGTGGTTTGGAGGGGGAGAAAAAAGCGATGTATATGTTACGTCACTGGCCCTACTTCCCATTACCCAGCAGTGGACACTTGAGCAGAATCAAATTAAAGCAATATACAGAAAGGGTCTTTGAATTGCAAGACAAAGTTATTTAAAATATGAATATATATTGCAGACACTTTCGAAGAAATAAACAAAAGATGCACACGAAAGGTAATGACAGTAGCAATTTTTCATAATTACAAGTAAAATAGTGGGCTACATGCAAAAATATAACTAGAAAGCAAGACACCAGGCAATAACAGGCAATCATACAAGAAGCAAGTGCAATTCATTATTTACAATAGTAATTAAACTAATTAAAACAATTACCTTTTCATTGAGGGCATTGTCGAAGTGAATAGTAGCTCACTGTATGGTGTCTCAGTTTAGGTTTTGCCAGCTCAATTACCCAAATTTCATCGCTCTGCAGTGATTACTAGTGGCCATCTTTCCAAAATTTTGAAGTAGCTGTACTATTAATATGGAATAACTTTGATTTGCCCATTTGACTCGACCAGCTAGTTTCTCCGGTTATGAAGTTAATTGTTCAATTTCTAAAACTACTGTCGTAAACATTGTTTCTACTCATATGAAGATGTCTTCTGCCAAAGGAAAATAATGCCGTAGGTAAGATTAGATGCCACCTCTCTGTGATATTTGAAAATAATAAACACATTTCGTGGAACACCCTGCATATCGATATGGCATGTCTACGCTGCTTGCTTTTCTCCTTTCGTGGGGTTTAACTCCCCGAAGCGACCCAGGTTACGTAAGATGCCGTGGTATTTCTGGCAGACATGCCGCTTGTCTGTCCTCCAACTTTCCTTCCCCATCATAGTCGCCGCTTTTTTCTTTCGGCCATACATATCTCCTACGTTGCCTTTGCGCGAGCGGAAAGCCTGCAGCCACAGCCGCACTTAGCTGCCCTGTTCGCGCCGTGGTCTCGGGACATCGGCGACTGGTTAACCTACTTTCCTGCTTCCGATTCCTGCGAGCGATTGCGCTTCGAACCCCCGATACTGCCATTTTCGACGGGGAGCGCTAAAGAAGCCACCGGCTGGTTCACTTCAGCGTTTTAATTGACAGTTGTTTTGGAAACCCTGAGTACAATCTTGTTTTAATACTATAGCAAATTGAGCGTGACAAGGACTTGAGAGACGAAAAAAGGTAGCGGGGCACAGGTTTGTTTGTTCTTGGGCTGTTCGAATGTACGTCATGTTGTGGACGACACTGCGCCGAGTGCCACGAGAGATTTTCCCACAAAGTCATAACACTCTCAAAAAGTGAAGGCCGTCACAAGTATTGATTGATATGTGAAGTTTAACGTCCCCAAACCACCATATGATTATGAGAGACGCCATAGTGGAAGGGCTCCGAAAATTTCGACCACCAGGGGTTTTTTAATGCGCACCCAAATCTGAGCACACGGGCCTACAACATTTTCGCCTTTATCGGAAATGCAGCCGCTGCAGCCGGGATTCGATCCCGCGACCTGCGGGTCAGCAGCCAAGTACCTTAGCCACTAGACTACCGCGGTGGGGCGCGGTCACAAGTAGAGGACGATATAGGCATCTTCAGGGAACAACGGGGATGGCGACTCGCTTGCTAATGGCTGTGGCTCCCTTTGACATTTCCATGGAACTGCGGTAGCAGCAACTCGGGGAAGAAGGGTTGGGCAAAGAACCTTCTTGTTTTGAGTGCGAAAACAGTGTACGTTGAAGACAGCCGAGGAAGTCGACACGACAGCTTTAATTTATGTAACACTGCCCAGCCTGGAGTATTCGTCTCAAAGTATACCTAGAGCATGTGTTTTTTAATGTCCTGCATGTCGTAATAGATGATATTCGCAGGAGAGGTGCTACCTTTACTCAGCAGCCCCAGCTCGCATGCAATTATTTAAACTCAAACAAAAAATGTCTGCGACTTTTTTCCTCATTGAGGGCGTAGTATATTGTGTAGTCATTCTTTTAAATGCAAAAGTAAGATTGTATGGTTAGCTTTGAGCACATGAGACAGCCTGCTATGATTACAATTACATTTTATATTACCCTGCAAATATTTTGCAAAAGTATTGCGAAAGTAATTGACCAATGGTATACAGATTATACCAGTAAAAATCGTCACACTGGAAAAATTTCCAAAACACTCACTAGAATATACCTTGTGTGAGGCAGGTGTCTTAACAATAACCGAAGAGTTGACAGTGCCTCGTTTATGTTCAAGGCATGACTGGCTGAAATCGGCCGAGCCGGGCCGGGCCCAAACCTTTCGGGCCGGAGCTGTATTTAAAATCACCGGGCCGGGCTCGGGCGGGCTAGAGCATGCAGTTTTTGGGCCAAATGGGCCGGAAAAATCGGCCCGTGCAATGCTCTAATGCAGGGATTGTGGGTTCAAATCTTAATGTGTCCATGGTGTTCTTTATTTAGTAAGTTTTTTTCTTATGTGGCACGATAGTTATTATGGACACGAGCGGCAGACAACTACGATGCATGCAATCCTTGTTGTGATCTCATAACAGCTTTCGCTGTAATAATAAGAATTTCGGGGCTCGAGTGAAGATTTCACACAGGCTGTCTTCGTTTCAAGGAGGCGCTCTATCACATAGCCACAAGATTTGGGAAAACTGCCCTGAAAAAAAAAAAAAAGCGAAATGAGTCTCCTTAATGCATCATATATTCCATGGTAGAAGCATAATACCACGCCAGGTGTGAAAACGTGTGAATTGAGCAATGAGTAGATGCTTTAAAAGTCTACCCGTTACAAAGCATGCAGATATATCTAGTCATCATCAGCAGCAATACCAACAAGGTGAACAGCTGTGCAAGTTCGCATGTTGTCAAACGAATCTGTAGCGGGCATTTAACAACTCTGTTTGCCGGGTATTCAATGATACTTTAAAATGGCTAATGTTATGTACACAGTTGTTTGCTTTTTTAAGAGCATGGTAGAGCCATGCACTGAGAACGAGAGAAGGTTAGCAGTTTAGAAGGCGAGCTGCATGAGGCCTGATTGCGCTATCACGACCTACGGTTGAACGCGAAGCTCAAGCGTCTCTTAATTGTTGCACTGTGTCCACTCAGTCTGTGCTGTTCTTTATTGCATGTGTTCCTGCCTTGCACATTGTACCACACTTTTTTCTTTTTCTGCAGTAAGCCCATAAAGTATTCAGAAAAATTTATTGTGAATTCATCTCTGCTCTTTAACTTTCCAGCCTACTACAGGACTGGAGAAGTGTTTGGTGATAATGCCATACGCACGTACGACTACAAGACCTGGGGCGTAGAAGAGTGAGTGGCTGCTGCAAATCACGGGGTCCTCTGCCATAGAAGGGCAACCTCAGCTCGAGCACCGTCTGGACGTCTTGGACAAGTTCAGCCAGAGCAAGCGGCAGCTGGAGCAGCTCTTGGACACCAATGACTTGGCACAGCTAGATGGGAAGTTGCAGGAGTTGCAGGTCACTGTTGCTGCTGTGTCATCCTTTGTGCCACAAAGCACCACTTCTAAGTGTGCCTGGCACTGAGAACTAGTTTGTCAAAAATTGGCATGGGCATTTTTTTTTCTATGTTCATGACAAAAGAAAAAAAAGACTGTAATTATGCTCAATATAGGTCAAAGTCACTTTTACAAAGCATAAAGTGGCTACTCATTGTCTAGATTTTCCTCGAAATTGTCACCAGGCTGCTTGCCATTTCATTTAACTTGAGTTCACTAAAACATGCTCGAAATAACCATCATTGCCAAGCTCTCGTGATGGATCGTAAAACACAAATCTTTTCTGCATACATGAGCTCTCAATTATACCCTTAAAATGTGTTTTTCTCAAGATTCATTTTTGAGTTTTTACATCATGTTTTTTGGTACTTCTGATAGCTCGATCGAGATGAAATTCTGCGCACGTATTCCTCAACATGTGAAGGGTACGAGTATATTCTTTCAAACTTGATATCACCTGTATGATTATTAGGAACCTAAAGTAAGCAGTTAGTATGCACTCAGGATTCTAAGGATTCTTGCATTACAATTTTTCTTGTCTATTAAAATATCTTATATGCACATCTTGATAGTTATTTGCGTTCTACAGTTAATGTACCCATTAATGCTTCAGAACCACAAAAGTTTAGCGGCATAAAAAGGTTGTCCAAAATTAACTATACTTTATACATTGTCATGACACATAACAAAAACTGTTCAACTTGCTACAAAACTAGTTACATATTTGAGATCAGCCTAAAGACCTATCTATGCAGCAATGATTTCGTTGTCCAAGGCTACAGATTAATGCAACTTTTTTTTAATTGCATCTCCCCTCAAGAGCACGAAAATCTCAAAGCCTTACACAGATAGATGCTACTATAGTCCTACCCACATACTATATTGGCCATGGCATATATAGGAAATAAGAAAACTTGGTGTGAACAGTGCAAAAACAAATAAAAATTCCACACTTGCTTGGTAACTTTTTAGGTTTTTGCAGATCATTAATGGAGCATACATTTTAGAAAATACGCAGATAAAATGGAGCTTAATGTTGGTACATTATTCCAACAGGCTTGCTGGCTTTAGCAGCATTCGCCCTGAATTAATTCCTCTTTGTGTTGCCATGCTTGTAGGCCATAATTATGGAAGTGGCAAGTCATCTGCCTGCGGCCAGTTTGTGCTGGGTTCAGGAGCAGTTTGCAGCACTGAGGTCACGAGTGGACGAGGTGCAGGAGAAGCTCAAACCACGCAAGCGCTTTGCCTTCAAGTCGGCAAGGGTCTCTGTGGCACCCATCGGCAGGTGAGCCAGCTTGTCATTGGTGCTTTTCATAGGATACAGTTGAACACGGTTATATCGAGCCCACAAATATAGAATTTTTGAGTATATCGAACTCGCAAGTTATCTCCTTGAAATTCCTTTTTAAAAGTATAGGAATTCGCATGTTTATATTGAAGTGTATTTTTACCCGCCTTTGATATATCAATCACCGCACCAGCTGGAAGGTGCGCTTCGGCATTCTCCGCCCTGCGATCTCCACGTGTTAGTTGGAAGATAGGCTTTGGCACTCGCAGCATCCAGCGACCTCGGCGTAGCACCACACCTCCGCCAGAACCCGAGAACGCTCGAAGGTAAAAGTATTTGCGGAACGGCTTCATGTTTTTTTTTTTTTTCATTTGTCTGTCTTTCTTTCAAGCTTTTTCCGCGTACCTGTCTGCTCAGTGAGCAGGAACAAAGGAGCCAATGCCCTTCTTCTTTCACCTTTTCTTTAATTTTTTGCTGCTGTTTTGCGAGTTTTGATCAACCAACCACAGCTCGCACCTTTTGCTGTTGCCCTCGCAGGTGGCCATCGCCTCGTGAGCGCTTTGTTGTTTCCGCTATCGCGTCGCCGACGTACCACCGCATGTGCAGCATTTCTTTCTCGCACACATTGTGTGCAAAGCAGCTGCGGACTCCTTGAATTGTCGACTTCTCGTGTAGCTGTGGCCAGCGTAAAAAAGTACAAGACCCTTGACTTTGCATCGAAGTTGAAGGCTGTTCAGTGTGTTGAGGCAGGCGAGAAATGTACGACCGTCGGGGATAATTTAGGCGTACCACGGAGCACTTTGAGTACCCTGTTGAAAAACAAGGCAGATATCAAGGGAAAGGCGGTGAAGCAGGGAATGTAGGGAGCCTGTCCTGTACGTGCTTTTGCCCACGGGAATGTAGAGAAGACACTTTATTTTTGGTTTTTAGAAGTGCACGCGAAGAACATTCTAGTGGATGGCCCGATGCTGATCGCGAAAGCCAAACAGTTTGTCGCTGCACTCCGTGAAACAACTTCGCCGACAACAGCACGTGTCTTCATCGATTTAAGCAGCACTATAACATCATTGGCAAAACCAATTCTGGTGAAAGCAAAGCTGTCAGGAGCAAGGACATCCAGGCAGTGGATGACGAAGGAGTGGCCGGAAATCTCTGCGAAGTTTTCTAAGGCAGAGATCTTCAATGCCTGGTGAGACATGAAGATGGACACAGTGGTCGACTGCTCCCTCAAGGCAGGCTTCGAGATGGAGGAACTTGCCTTGTCGCGGTGGTCTAGTGGCTAAGGTACTTGGCTGCTGACCCGCAGGTCAGGGAGGAGTTCCGGCTTCGGCTGCTGCTGCATTTCCGATGGAGGCCGAAATGCTGTAGGCCCATGTGATCAGATTTGGGTGCACATTGAAAAACCCTAGGCGCACGAAATTTCTGGAGCCCTCCACTACAGCGTTCCTCATAATTATATGGTGGTTATGAGACGTTAAACACCACATTTCAATCGAGACAGCGGAACTTGCGGAAACTGGTGAAGACAACGAGACCATAGATGACGCGTTTCGTGTGCTGTCATCCCACTTCCCGGCAGCAGTTGCACACAAAGTGCCTGCGGACAACTTCGTGAAAGCAAAAATGTCCAGGCCGACAGCTCACGTGACAAGGAGGATTGTCCTGATGAGGCACTGGCTACACGAACGTACTCCGCCGCTGAAGTGGTGGCAGCGTTCAGCATCATTCGCTGTTGTATCGGCCACATGGAGAGAACCGGGCTGTCGCACCTAGACAGACTTGATATGATTGAGACTAGCGTCTTCAACATTTCAAAAACGAAAGGGCAGGCGAAGATTAGTGATTTTTTTTTTCGCGCAAATAAATCATTCTGTTGCAGCGTGTGTCCGGAATTAGTTGTCATTTTTGAATGCACCTATTGTAGATATGATGCGCTGCAAGTAAGCTCTAGGGGCCTCTATTTTTTATATCGAATCTTTAATATATCGAACTAATTCGCAATCTCCTTCGAGTTTGATATATTTGTGTTCGACTGTATGTGCACAAATATTGGACAAACACAGGAAAAATGAAGTAGACAGAAAGAGTGCAAGCTATCAACTTTATTTTACCCAACAAGAAGTTCTTAAATCTTCGGCACTTTCGGGCCAGAACAACAATGTGGTTTAGAAAGGGATAAAAATTAGAGGTGGAAGTGCTGCGCCAAGTGCGCCGTTCTGCGCCAATAGTAGCTGCTGCGCCAGGCTGCGCATAAACGGCCATTTCCGTGATAATGGCCGATTGGAAGTGTTACCCTCTAAATCTAGCTAATTAAGTCGCCGGCGAATTTTTTGGACTCTTAAAATTCGAACTTGTAGGATATTTCAAACTTCACAAATGCACCATAAAGATTCCCATTGCACTAATGCATTTTTGCGACCGATTCTGCAAATGATTCTTCGAAAGTTCGATTTTCCGGACTACATCGTCTTTCTTTAGCTATGCCGCTCGATTATGAAAACTGCCATGTTGGATTTTTGTTGGCTTGGTGAAGTTTGGCTAGCTGTGTGGCCTTCAAGATTGGAAGCGCGCACAATCTTCCAGTGTTGGGGTTGATGTCTGATCTTTCTTGGCTATCAAAACAGCAAAACTTTTCTTTTTCAGTCAGCCTTATCATCATCATTAGTATGCTGGCAGGTTGTTTTTATTTTCTGGGCATTTGTTTTTCTGGTTCTCATTGCGCACGTGGTTAACATGGTGGTTTTAATTGTGTGCAAAGTGTGTTCGAGCAGTAGTGCACGTCACATGCTCACTGCTGTTCACGGTTGCTCAGTAGCACTCCATAGTTACTGTGGTCAGCTACTGGCTGGGAACACACTGGTTTGATCGCGGCTGCTGCAGTAGCGTTTTGATGGTGGTGAAATGCTGGAGGCTCACGTATTGCGCGGTGTCAGTGCAGGTAAAAAAGCCCAGACCGTGTTGTTAAATTCCACCAAGCAGGTGAGAAGTTGCATGCATCTTTTTGTGACCTGTGTCATTTTTCTGTTTGCTTGATGTCAAGGAGTTACTAACTTTGCCGCGCGCAACAGTTGGAAGGCAGCGATTTGCAACGTGCGTGTCAACGATGTTACTGCAGCCCAACTAGAACGCAATTTGCTCGTTCCCAAGGACAGCATGAAACATGGCATCATTGGGAATTTTTCAAAGGGTTTTCAAATCGAACTATACTTCATTTTCACGGCCTGAACATTTTTTCAGACTGTTCGATTTTTCACACTGTATCGCGGTCCCCGCCAGGTAGGGAAAATCGGTTGGCTACTGTATCATCGTCGACTGAACAACACTGAGTGTTGGCTTTGTGCACTAAGGACGCGTCCACGTCCATATCCAGTGGAGTTCGATAGGGTTGTAATTCGATAATTCGGTTCACTTGAGGAGCTCTCATCGCTGTTATCTCTGTGGTTTCCCTGTAAAAGTGGTGGCACCAACATGAGTAACTGTTAAATATGTAGCGATATAGTGAAACCTCAATAATTTGTACTAGCCGGTAATGCAGCACGTCATGCACTAGACGACAGTGTGTGTTTACAACTGCAAATGTGCATCTTCTGATGTGCCCCATTGCACCAATAAACGAATACAGAGCCACAGCAGATGTCACCCAAAGTACCTACGAGAAAGTCTTCTTCTTTTTGCCAGAGGGCGGAAAACATCGTACAGAGCTGGAACTCTCGCACGATTGTTTTATCGCGCGCAGTGGTGACGGCTGGGAGCATTTTAGAACTATATAATATTACAGGGTCCCGAGTATGCAGTGGCTCAAATAGCTACAGAACGGACACTATTACGCGAACTCATATGTATGCTTCTCTACTATGATATCATACTAAGCGACAACTGGCAGTTTCATTGAGTGGTCGCGTGGACTCCGATCATCTCCTGGTTAGTTGCATGTAGCGCGGCGCCTATGCTGCCTACATCGTCGCTGTTGGGTGGCTCGCTGTACATGGTACACTCTAGCTGTACCATGTGCGCCGACTTGCTGTGTGAATTGCTCATCCCCATTTCGCTCCAGACCGAGTACAGATGAGCAGAGCAGTGTGTTTAATCACTGTAGGGATAACAAACTTCTGCCAAGCGAAGTGCGTCACGATTATTTATACTCCGTTTCACACAACAGGGGTAATGCTGCGGATGATAGCGAGACTCCTTGTAATCGATACGTTCATGTAAAGAAGTAGTTCCGTATTTTTTACCACCCAGTCAGTCAGTCAAGAACTCTACTAAGAAGTCCTGAGGAGTTTCCAAGGTGTCGACAAGGGGCATCCTAGCAGTCGCTACTGTAGGCGACGCCCAAGTCGGGGCCAACCAGAATGTATTTTTCTTTTCGTGTCAGGCGAGGGGGCCACGGAGTGCACACGTGTATTGCATCACTCTGTGATTATCCTACGTGTCTTGGTGGATTTTCGAATGTGTTGTAAAATCTCACTAGTTAGCCATGAAAGTTGCAAGGACCTTCCCGGTGCCGCAGTTCTGCAGGTGGGCCCATTTTCCGGTCATTTTTCGGTGTTCTGTGCTGACGTGGCGAAGAGAAGCCTAAATCGAACACATACGAGACCATTGTCCGGCCGCTTAGGCGGTAGAGAGGGCTAGGCTTGGCGTGTCGCCAGACTTTTTCGGAGACCCCCGCTATTTATCAGAGACGTCAGAGGCGAACTTAGGTGTAAATGGAAGTTATACAAGTCCAAGGACAGGAGTTGGATCTGGACGAGTTCCGCCAGGGCTCAGAGTGGTGTGAAATCAAAAGACACAGCAAAAAGCTTCAGCAAGGGCAGCAGCAGACGGCTACTTCATTAACCATGGAAATCTCAACGGCTGCCGGGACGGCGACGAGGTGGAATAGGAAGAGCGCCCGCCAAGTTCGCAAGATAGTCAAAGCCAGTCAATGCCAGATCTACCGACGAACGACTATCAAGTCGTCGTTCGCCCTCGAGGCGGCTTCAATGTCTCCGACTACA